ACATTTTTCCTTTGTAAGAAAAATACACACACATCATGAAACATCATTTCCTCAATACATACATAAAACAAAGCTTCTCCATGGTTCCTTTTTGCTTTTTCCGCACACATCACTTAATTTTTTTTTTGTCTCTGTCGCCAAAAAAAGTTGCATACTTAGGACGGGTCACATCCCCCTAACAAAAATCTAACAGGATATCCTCATTGTCCCAAATATTTTTTTCCTTTCTGACTCGCACTTTGTTTCTTTCTTTGAACACTAAACGACTCAGATTTCGTAGCTTTTTTTCCTGTGAATTTTCCAGAGATTCCAGCACTAGTGGTTCAGGACATGATCGCACTTCCAAAACTCGTACTGTAACCACGGTTGCATGGAGAAAATTTTTTTTCAACATCTGTGAATTAGTTTCACAACTCAAAAAATTACGCACAAACGAAAATGGATTAACGTTTCCATCTAAATCCATTCCCGATGATGCATTCGTTGAAATAAAATTCAGAGATAAATGCTCAGAAGAAATTTTTCGAACTCAAAATCCCATTTTAGACTGCCAGCGACATCTAATGATACTGAAAAAAGTGCGTCGTCTCCAATTACCCGGATAAAAACGTGGGGACACCCGTGAACATATTGGATCCAACCTTCTACTCGAAAATTCGCGGTGTCTCTCAAAAATCCAACACTTTTTTTCTAACACGAGGGGGGTGAGGGGCAGATTATTCCATTGAACACGCGAACTATTTCTAAATTCGACAAATTCCATCTCCAGATCACTTCAACAAAGAGTCACAAAAAATTGCTTTCGAAAAACGCTCTCGCTAATTCATCATCCTCGTGATGATACAATTGACACATTTTTTTTTCCTCTTAGGATTCCTGCAATTAAACAGCGATCGCGTCATAAGGAAATTCGACGTTTTTTTCTTTCTTGAAAATTCAATATTAAAAACAAAATTGTTTGGTTCTGTTTCTCTTGCAAAAAAATCGGGTCATTACACTGGTCATGATTTGTCCGGCATAAAAACGAACTGCGCTATACTAAAAACTAACTCTCGTCCTCGTGACCTCGCCCATTCTTTCATACATTCATTCATTCTACAGGTGGCAACAAAACAAAACGAAACAAACAAACGAAACCCCCTCTGATAAACATGGGTGATTACTGCAATTTGTGTACAGTATCTAGTGTAGTTTTCCGATTCCGGCGCCATTCGCAGTGGCAGTGTTCATGGGAGACTTGGTAGCGGAAATCCGGCGGCGGCGGCCGGCGTCCCCGTCCAGGGCGTCCTCCATGTGCACCTCCACCGGGGGTGGCAACGTTGTCACCGGGATGAAGATGTTACCATCTATGATGGACCTGGCTGGAGACGGGGATCTTGGTGGCAACTGCGGAACCACGGGAGGATAAAACGAGATCCCATCAACAAAACTGCACCAAATGGCAATATTGTATTTTTTAAAAATAACGCTTGCAACAAAAAA